GTGGTTGCTAGTTTATGATTGTTGCTTTTAGTGTCTTTAACTAACCAAGCATTGAACTGGATTTGCATGTTTGCTAATAGAATATATTGTAATTTTGTCTATTTTAATATGATCCTTGAGTATAGCTGAAGCATCAATGTTTTTATCGTTAGAATTAGTTTTTCTTTTTCTTTTAGTTCTTAGTTCATCTCTATTTGTACAGAAAACATTACAGGTTTATTGAGCGTATAGATTTGAGGGGGAAGAATGATTTAGTTTGCTTGGTTGATATATTGTTTTTTGGTATAAAGGAGTAGCCTTAATGACTATTAGCAAAGTACAAAATGAATAAACTAATAAAAAAACTACAACACAGCTGTAAGTCTGCGATGTTACCTCTCTATAGGTTTATGCAGCTGCTGTTTATTGGAAGGATCTGGTTGGAAAATTGATTCTCTTCAGCTATGGTGCATTTGGAGATTTTGCCGTCAAAGATAATGAGCTGTGTTCTGTAATGCAAAGGAGAAAAGGACATGTGTCATGATTGATATCGGTTAGATTTCATTTAGGGCTGCAACTAAGGTTTATTTTGCTACTCGATTATGCTGTTATTTTTTTTTTTCAGTTAATAATCTAAATGCAAAAGGTTCCTTGGAGACTTGAGTTCTGGACAGAGCATATCTGCAGATGAAAATCTTTTCTTAAATGATAAATATCTATTTATCTTTTATAATTTTCATACAGTTACTGCTTTATCAACTAAAGGCATGCTTTAGAGTCTGTTTACTCCAGTTAGCGATTTATTTACTAAATTAGTTGACCATTATTTCAATAATTGATTAATAATCAGATTTTTTTCAGCACTAATTTCATTTATCAGATTCCACTGACCCTTAACCTAGACCAGGGGTTGGCAACCCAATCTCTTCACAGAGCGATATTGGACCAAAAAAAGCAAAAAACAAATCTGTCTTGAGCTTCTATAAGCCTCATATGGCAACCACGGCTCTAAGTGCATTAGCACACTATGAAAAAGGACTACATGGGCTTAAATAAATAATAATCATTCATGTTTATCCTGGAGCAAATGTCACGTCATGTGACTAATCTGATGTATGATATTTGCTGCTTTAAGTTTATATTCCATTACAATAGTAATGTATTAAGTTTTGGTACATTGATGAAATTATAGAAAAACAAAAAATAAATCAGATTTATTTTGAGGATTTGGGGGAAAAAATGGAAGAAAGTTCACATTCCTGCATCAGAGCGCTACCTGAACGGTTTTCCATGCTTGCAACAGAACTAGCAGCAGTGGTTACCCTAACCCTAACCCTAGTTTTGGAGATGCAATCTCCATGCCTGCTGATGATGTAAAGTTTTTGCCAGTAACGCTAATGGCTGATAAAGGACGGAGCATCTGTGGAAAAGGACAGTTCCTCTGAGGTTGAAGGAGTGAACCAGCCAGCCTGCTTTATGCCTTTAGTTTCAACAATGACCCTCAGATGAACGGAGCCGTTCTGAATTAGATAAGGAGCGGTCTACAGTCACAGATTGGTAATGAATGCTTTTCTTTTCACTCTGAAATCACACTTTATTTTAAAGAAAGCCCAGAGAGGAGATGGACAGCTGTTCAAAGGAAGCCATAAAAATCATCATGTGCAAAAAAAACTCACCACAAAAAACCAGATTTTTATCTTTAGCTCAGTTTTTCCATTTTGTTTTTCCATTAACCTCTCTGTCGTTTTGAACCGTATCAAAGCCAAGTTAATATGCAGGTGGTCTTTCTTCTTTAAAATGGAGGTAGATGTTTTTGGAGCAAGGAGACCCTGTCCGCCATGAACGTGAAAGCTTCAGGCGTTTTATAAATCCTGCACCTGCTTTATATTATGTATGGGTCCCTCCAGAGAGTCTCTGCTTCCACACATAGAGATGCGAGTAATACAGGGCTCTCTGTAGACAGTCAGCTTGGCTTGTTCAGAGTCTTGCTCAGTATACGGAGAGCGCTAATCATGCTATATGACGGCAGACTGAGGGAAACCTGCCTGATACGCCGCTTACTGAGGCATCCACATAGTTTAAGAATCCTCTTTGCAGCTGCAGACATCTTATTGTTTTTTTTACACTTTCTTTTTCTTTTTTAGCAGAATATTTGATATTGAAGGCCAGAGGGTCGGGATACAAATAAATAAAGACAGTAGGATGGCAGGATGGAATAGAGACAGAAGGCACACTGATGGAGGACTTGATATGAATTGCTTTAGGGGTAAAAATTTAAGATCAGAAGCTCACAGCAGGGACTTATTTTTTTCCTGCGTTCCCTGTAAGCCACTTCACTCTGTCTGCGGTTCACTGAGCGTGTGCATTAGTGTGAGTGTGTTTGTGCATGTGAAAAGTGTGCGAGAGAGGAGCTGACATTTTATTCCGGCGCTGCCAGAATTGGAGACACCTGTCTAATTAAAGCTCCTTTATTCATTTCCTTCACATCCTTCTTATTTCTGTTCCCTTTATATATTTTTCTTTCTCTTTCTTCATCGTTACCTTCAACTACGCAAATAACTCAAAGCTGTGCTTTAAGGAAGGCTGTTTTTAGTTTGTTGCTTTCTAGTCTGCTCTTGTTTTTTTATGTTTTTATTTAGTGTGGGTGAGCTCTTCTGTAAAGTAACGGCACCGTCTGATAGTCGGGAGTAAACAGGACTGAGGTTGTTTCTTTGTCCGCTGGTTTTGTTTCCGGACACCGTGTCGAAATTCGCGTATTTTTATAATTAGCTGAACTTCAATAAGAACGCCATAGTTTTATGGTTATCACAACATAAACAAACTAATCTAAAACCACACTTTATAACGAGATTTAATTTCCTTTATTCAGGCAGAAGAAAAAAAGAATTACATCTACTGCTGCTAGAATAATCTGATTGTTACAGTTTTAATAGAATATTTCACAAATTGTATAATTCGACACAAAACGTTTATCAAAAATCTAGTAGAAAAACCTGCTAGTTATTATTTTTCAAACTTAGAAATAGTGCTAAAGCAATTATCAGATTAATAATCAATTATTGAAATTAACTTCAACTAACTTACCGGTAGTCATCGATTAATGGTTAACTGGAGTATAGAGACTATAAAGTGTGACTTTAACTGACAGAGCGACCCACTATGAGCAGAAATTATACCAAAATTGTAAAAAAAAAAAAAAATATATAAACATTTTGCATTTAAGATTGAAAAAACTTTTTTGTCCATCAATATGCTCTATCCAGACCTCCTCAAGTGGAAACATTTTAGTTTGATCTGGTTTAATTTCATAATATAATCTTCTTTAAGTAACCTTTGGCTATTTGATAATTAATCGATTTGCAAAATGATTGTTAGTTGCAGCCCTAGTAAACAATACAATCCTTTTTTCTGTTCTAAACTTTAGAATTGCAGCCTAATACATTTAAAGTTTAAGGCAAGGCAAATTTATTTGTATAGCACAGTTCAGTACAAAGACAATGCAAAGTGCTTTGCATGATTAAAATACAGGAAGATAAAACAGAATCAAAGCAAGTAGGAAAAAATAAAAAAATAAAATATAATAAACAAGCTTTAACTTTACCTGATTGATTAGTAAATCAATCTGCAGGGAAACAACTGCAGACATCGAAGTACAAAAAATAGATAAAATCCAGATTTTCCAAAAATGAAATCACCATAAATGGAGAATTTGATAAATTGATAAATGGCCCAGCCCTTGTGCCGATGAAGCTAGCCTGCAGTTGGCTGCTTTACAGACATTCTGCCTATAGGTGCATTTCGAAACATGATGAGATGGGTGGCATGTTTTTCTGCCAGCTGACCTCCAGCACTCCTCAGCATGTAGAAAGGGAGCAGCAATACCTTATGGCTACCTTATATGTCACCGATAATTCTGGCACTTTTTGACATTTTATTCAAAGGAATTTAAACAAGGAGCTTGGGCTGCAACTAAAGGTATTTTGCAAATCGATTCATTAATTTTTCCATCAATCAATTAATAATAAGATGGCCAAAGGTTCTATGTAGAACACTTTTAACTTAAGTTAAAACGGGTGAAACTCAAACTTTTCCACTTGAGGAGATTTGGACGGATCATGTTGACACACATTTTTTTACTTTAATGCAAAATGTTGTGTATTTTTTTATAATCTTGGTATAACTACTGCTTTAAGTGGGTCGCTCTGCAGCTAAAGGCATGTTTTACAGTCTCTATACTCCAGTTAACGATTAATTACTAAATTAGTTGACGATCTTTAAATAACTGATTAATTACAATGAAGTGTTTAAGCCCTATCAGGAAGGTTTCACTTTCCAAATCCCTGAGGATTTATTGTCATCTTTGATAAACAGCCACTGGAACACCTGATCAACCAGCTAATGTCACTTAGCATCATCATCGGTTCGTCCTCCTAGAGGCTGGAAGAAACAATCTCTCCTCCTAAAAAAAACAAATTCATGTCAATAGTCTGTTTTTTCTTGAAAACGTAAAAGAGGTCTGTGCATTTGTTTCTCTAGTCTCTCACATTTCTCATTTCTTTGACTCTGGATTTGTACTTTTTTTTCTAATATTAGATTTTATATCATCTGTAAAGTCCTTTTGTAAAATCTAAATCTTCTGTTTTTAATCACTTATCTTTGTGTATCTGCATGCCGCCATTTGTTAGTTTTCTGCTGATACACCTAGATTTCACCGCTAAGGATCAATAAATCTTTAATTTATTTTCTATTCTATGAGGAGAACCAAATACCTGTATAACAGCAGATGTCACAATCTTTAACTATTATTACACAGATCTGGTGTTTATTCTTTTTTTTTTTTTTGCTTGTCTTTAGTGTCAACATCAAAAATTTTGATATAATAATTAGTGCTTAATAGTTAATGAAATCATCAGTTGCTGATGTTTATCCCAATAAGTTGAGGGTAGTTATGAGGCATTGAATTATGAGGCATTTAGTGTGTGTATAAACCTCTAACTGCTGTGTTAATTTCTTGTTTCCAGGCTCTCCATCAGTTGTATTACGACCCAAACATAGAGAACAAGAATCTGGCCCAGAAATGGCTGATGCAAGCACAAGTTTCACCTCAGGCCTGGCAGTTTAGTTGGGCCCTGCTTAGCCCAGAAAAGGTACATCGTCTTAACAAACTCCGTGATGAAGATTTAACCAAAAAGAATGAGAGAAATTGTTTTAACTCGTGTGTTTTGTCCTAGGTTCCTGAGATTCAGTACTTCGGGGCCAGTGCTCTTCACACCAAAATCTCCAGGTACTGGTCGGACATCCCTACAGACCAGTACGAGTCCCTGAAGAGCCAGCTGTTCTCCCAGATAGCGTGCTTCTCCTCCGGCTCCAAAATGGTTCTCACCCGACTGTGCGTGGCCCTGGCCTCTTTGGCTCTCAACACGATGCCCGAAGCCTGGCCCGGCGCAGTGGCAGAGATGGTGCGAGTGTTTCAGGAGGAGGGGGGAGGCGTGGATGGCCGGGCACGCTGCCTGGCTTTGCTGGAACTGCTCACCGTGCTGCCGGAGGAGTTCCAGACCAGCCGCCTGCCACAGTACCGAAAGGGGCAGGTAACGTCCGCCCAGCGCCGACTGTGACCACCTGTTTGGCATCAGTGATTAATGAAGCTATCAGACACATTCAGGTTCATCTCAGTATCATTAGAAGGTCTTTGATAAGTTAAAGGGATATACTTTTTATTTGTTATCTAACAGCAATTTGGTGTTTCTTGCTTAAAGATAATGAAAGCCCGAAGTACAGTTTCTCAGAAAAGTATAACTTGACAAGACTTAACACAAACTATATCCTGTAGCTGCCTGTTATATTTCTACACTTCAAAAGCTATCTAGAAATAAGTAAAAATGTCTTAAATTAAGTGTATTTACCCTTTGAGTAGATAAATAAGATGATCTTCCAATGGAATTAATATTTTTTGTCTTAAAATAAAATAATTAGATACACCACTTGCACTTGAAATAAGACAATGCATTTTTTTTTGTTATTTTAAATGTAAATTGTCTTGTTTCATTGGCAAAGTGTCTCACTTACCTACGGTGACCCTGAAGTGCAAACTGCAACTACAAATCTAAAAGCGCAACTACATTAAGGAAAACACAATTACATGAACCTACCGGAAGCGGGTAGGTACCAGTGGGAAACATGAGACATCGCTGATTGGACGACGGCGCCATTTGACCCTTGAACTGGAAGTTGCGTCGTCTAAACAGTCCAGCTTCTTTTAAGTGTGTCTTCAGTGTACGCAAACTAACTGAAATTTGTTGATTAGTCTTGAGCATATCCAGTATCACCTCGTACGTATGTCCTGATTCAAAATATTCCTGGATAACGGCAGCTATGTTTGGGGCGCCGACAATATCCATGTTTTCAAAAGCCGCAGCAGGCAGAATGACTTCCGGTTCAAGGGTCAAACGGCGCCGTCGTCCAATCAGCAATGTCTCATGTTTCCCACTGGTACCTACCCGCTTCCATTAGGTTCATATAATTGTGTTTTCCTTAATGTAGTTGCACTTTGCTTTATGTAGTTGCGATTTCCTTAATGTCGTTGCGCTTTTAGATTTGTAGTTGCAGTTTGCACTTCAGGGCCACCGTACTCACCTCCTCAATTCGAGAACAAAATGCACTTTTTTGAAGAAAAAGTTACTTATTTAGATTTAAGTTTTTTGCAGTGTAGAGACAACAGAAACCTCCTCCCTGGGCTCAAGGGGGAAAAGGACCATTCTGGTGCAAAGTGTTCAGTCATCTTCTCAGATTAAAGTTTGATTAAAAAACACTGGCCCTCATGGAGAAGTATAGAGGACCAGTGGATAGAGACAGAATTCATTTCTCTCAAGCGTCCAGTGGGAGGCTTCCACAGTGGGTGATGCCAGTTCATGCTGGTCCAGCCCGTCATCTGCCAGGACATTTTTAGGGTGCTCAATGCTTCCTTCCTCAGAGAAGCTTTATGGAAATACTGACTTTATTTTCTAGCACTGCCAAAATAACTGATATCTGCTTTGATGTCCCTGTTATCAGTTTATTTCTATAGAGCCAATTCACAACACATGTCATCTCAAGGGAATTTAGAGTTCACCAGATCATCCAGTCAGACTGATTCAAAGTTTTCTATCTAAGGAAAACCAGCTAATTGCATCGTCTCATTGACTCTTCAGCAATCCCTCACACTAAGCATGCTTGTAGCGACAGTGGAGAGGAAAAACTCCCTTTGAACAGGAAGAAACCTCCAGCAGAACCAGGCTCAGTGTGTCACTGCACTGGAACGACCAGCAACCGGGCCTGACCTGGGATCTATGGAGTATTATCAAAAGGGAGATGAAAGACATCAAATTAGGGCCGTAACTGACGATTAATTTGCTGTCAGTCATTTTTCGATTAATACGTGGATAGCCAAAGGTTCCTTAAAGATTTTTTTACAAAATTAAACCAGATGAAACAAAAACTTTTCCACTTGAGGAGTTCTGGACGGAAAAAGTTTTTTTTTACGTCCTAAATGCAAAATGTTTGTATATTTTTTCACAAGTTTGATATAATGACTATTTTAAATGGGTCGCTCTGTCAGCAAAAGGCATATTTTACATTCTGTATAGTGGAGTTAACGATTAATTGATCACTAAATTAGTTGAAGATTATTTACATGATCGATTAATCCGATTAATTGTTTCAGCCCTACATCAGCGCAGCAGTGGAAATGACCTAAAGGGCGCAACACATCCACCTATACCGATGGCCTCCATGCCATGCTGCACTCATCCAGTGCAGACATGCTTTTCAGTTTGCTAATATGTCAATATTAAAATCCTTTTTTTTTTTTATTCTCTCAGAAACAGAAAAGAAAAAATTTTATCAAACAATTATCAAACTTCAGGAAAACAAACGCCTAAAGATAATCAGTCTGTGTGAAGCATAACTATATAAAGGCTCAGGAAGTGATGTGTTTTTGTTTGTTTTACTCCCTGTCCAGGTTCGAGGAGCTCTGGGCCGAGAGTGGGGGTCAGTCTGTCCCTTACTGCAGCAGCTTCTCCGGCGGACGGATAGCCCCGGGGCAGTCAAAGCCCGGGTGCTGCGCTGTCTGTCGTCATGGGTGCTGCTGGATGTGCCTCTAAACGAGAGTGAAGGCCTGGTGCATGACTGCTTCAGTGCCCTGTCTGACCCGGAGCTCTTCGACACGGCGGTGGAGGCAATAGTCAACGCCATTTCTCAACCCGACTCCCAAAGGTATGGTTAACATCTGTTGCCTATTTGACCGTTGTGCTTATAAGATGAATTATATGCGAGTTAATGCTTAAGTACGGTAAAGCGGGGGAAACATTGGCAGGGTGGTACTAGAAGGCACAAGGAAGGGATGGATTAAAGGAAGAAAGGATTGGTAGAGGGCAAGCGCACAGCCAAGAGGAGGAAAGCAGCATTTCTTGCTTGGATGGTGTTACTATGGTTACAGATCTGGGGAGAGATGTCATCATGCCCCGGTTGATTCAGACATGGCAGGCACCCATTACCCCTCCCCTGGAGACAAAGCAGGCGGGGGTGATGGGACTGTGCTAAGAGAAAAGGAAGAGAAGCTCAGAAGGCGGAGGGGGGGGGGAGGTGTGACGGAGCCCAGGAATATAAGGCTTTATTCTCTGTAATCCCACACAGACCGGGGCGGTGGGCAGCAGAGGCTGCTGCTGGCAGGTCACTGACCACAGGGGCATCACGGCTAGCATATGGTTCGGCTCATTAAGTTACCACCATCGTTACAGCACACTAGAATGGAGCTGTTTTCTCTTTAAGCAGAGAAAAGTTGACTTTTATATTAACTTTTTTCTGCTCATTAGAAACTGTAGCGTTCTGTTCTCTGAGCTGCCATGAATAATGATGGAAATAAATGAATGTACGGAAGCAGTTATAAGGTTCTTCCCTGTCATCCTTATAAAGGAAATCATATTTTTTTAAATTCCCCTGCCTCTTGGTTTTCTTTCAGTTCTGTGCTTTTCACCTCGTCTGCCCGTTTTCTCTGTTCTCTCTCCTCACCTCTCGCCATCAGTGCAGAGCCCTCCTCCCTGTCTCTTGTTCTCCTCCTCTGTTTAAACACATTACAGTCAAGTCATTTGGGGGAATGCTATTGGTCCAGCTGCATCCTGTTGCCAGGCAACCCATTTCCCCTGTCTCAGAGTGTTGCAATAATTGCAGAGGGGAACAGAGGGACAAAAGGGGGGGGGGGGGGGGGGGGGATTCAGTGTGAAACAGCTGGATGGATGCAAGAACAGGAGATGATGAGTTAGCAGAGACATGATTTTAGAAATTTCATCTTTTTAGAGCCGAAATGGATAAAAGCATAGTTGGCTGTTTGATGGCCCCACAGACACACCAAGGAGTCAGAGAGAGCGTGACCTCTGTCTGAAAGTCGCCTTATTAAAAATAAATGATGGTTTGAGTGTGCTCATGGACACACCAACACACAGGCAGGGAGGCACTCAGACATCCAAGATGAGAGCTATTCCTGTCAGCGCTGCTGAACTTGGTGAGACGCTGAGGCTAGAGTCCAGTCTAGTGTTTGAGTTTTCCCCAGTAGGGACTCATTCAGGCTGCACTGCTGATTTCAGGCATTTCCTGATATGACAGGCCGATGATAATGGCTCCTCAGCCCATAACAGGTCTGGAGGGAAATTAGTGAATTTAACCCGTGTTTCATGTTTACATTTCATTTAATTCTTCATTTCCCTTTACTTATTATTTTTCTGGAAAAGGTTTTTTTTCACTTGCATTTAAATTGCATTTTTACTGTAGATTTACATGTTTAGTGGTAGGGATGGACGATTTTGCCAAAAATCAAAATGATGATTATTTTTAACCAATATTGCGACAGAAATTTTACCTCAATTTCCTTTGCGCTCGCCCCAGGCTTGTAGATGTTTCAACCCCTAGTTTTAGTTTTTTAAAATCTTACTTTTTTAAGTCCATTGTTGCAGAAATTTCCTGTAACCTTGGTGTGAAAAAGTGTTAACTTCTACTTGCATGCACGGATCTGAGTGCTAGCTGCAACTCTTTACCTTTCTGTGTGGCGACAACCCCACCTCAGCAGTTTTACCGCCCTCTAGAGGGCTGAAGGGAAAGATTTAATGTCTTACTCTTGTCTCTGCGATTTGAACCTTGCATTTTTTTACAATCCAAATGCGATCAATTGGCCTTGCTTCGGTGGGGCAGTGGTTAGCACACACGACCCATGTACAGAGGCCTTAGTCCTTGACGCGGCTGACGTGGGTTCGATTCCGACCTGTGGTCCTTTTGCCGCATCTCTGTGAGCCTACTGTCGAAAAAATTAGCTACTAGTGCCGTAAAATCTCACACAAAAAAACAATGCAATTAATTTCCCAGCCCTGTTAGTGGTTGACCAACCTTGTGTTTTCTGTGGGTTAAGCAACTTGATGTGAACGCAGCAATCGTTCTACTGTTACTGCCCATTGATAGCACAGAGTGCTGCTGTTATTCTGCTACTACTTCCCTGAGCGCCGTCTCAAAGGCTCAGGCAGCCGTCCCACCCTTAAAACCCTGCATACAGTCTCTGCTCTGTGTTTTACTTTACAAATGCTTAACATGTAAAGCTGCCAACGATCCTGCCCTGATTACAATGATGGATAAATATATAAATCTTTTAATGAGCATGTTGCACTAAAACACCTAACGAGCACATGGCTTGAATCGCTTATTAACCTTTCAATGCGTGGGCCTCTCTTATCAGTCTTCTTGCTAATGTGAGATGTGTACAGTAGAGCTGCAGCTATCGATCCTTTTTGTAATCAACTAATCTATAGACATTTTTTTTCAATTAATCTAAAAAGAAATATTTTTAGTCGATGAACATTTTTATATAAATAAACATTTGGAATTAAAAAAGATATAAAACACATTCCATATGAAGTGTAAATGGCAAAAATATGTAGAAAAAAATAAATACAATATCTGTATATAATCCAAAGATGTTTAATCTTTTCTGGATATAATAATAATAATAATAATGAATTTTATTTGTAACGCACTTTAAATTTGAATTCAAATCTCAAAGTGCTACAGTTCAAAAAGGGAAAATTAAAACAAAGGTTAAAAGACCATAACATTAAAAACAGAGTAAAAGACAATCATTAAAATCAATACATTTGAAGGCATACGTAGCCTGTTTAAAAAAAAAAAAAATCTAAAAATCAGCAATTGTAAGCATTTCTAAAAAGGAAAGTTTTCAATCCTATGTTGATATGTTTATATATTTTTTTTATTTTGTCTTAGTTGCTACTGTAACTGGTTATTCTCTCAGTATATGGTCTCTTTTAGAGCCTATGTATCATTACATTACTGGTAAAGATTCAGTCCCATCACCAAAGTTAATAGTTGGCGGTTATTTTATTAATTAGTTTCTCACCATTTCAGCATTTAGTATATGGTGTGGATTGATGGATTTTTTCATAAAGTAAGGTATGAAGGTAGATTTGTTTCTTTATAATTCAATAAAAAAAAAGGTTGCTTCAATCAAAAAATATATTTTCAATAAAAAAAATCTTCACAAAAAAATGAAAAAAACTTCAATCAAAGAAAAAAGTATTTGAATGCAAAAATATATTTTAGACTCAAAGAAAATACATTTGAACACTGCTTTTCTTTAATTGAAAATGTTTTATTTGATAGAAGTCCATTTTTGTTTTTGTTTAAAGCAACTTTTTTAATTGAAGTAACATTGTTTTTTGATTGGACCATAAAATGGGTAGGACATTTGTGTCTTTATTTCACACAAACCGACAAAAGAATCAATAAAAAAGTAACTTCAATGAAAAGATAAACGTTTCCAATCATAGAAAATAGTTTTTTAATGCAAATAAAATATTTGAGGCTCAAACAAATTGCATTTGAACACTTTTTTTTTATTGTTGAAAATGTTCTCTTTGGTTGAAGGGATCTATTTTGTATTTGGGTCACACATGGGTAGGACATTTGTCTCTTAATCAAATACTTTTTTTTTGATTGAAAAGTTTTTTTTTTTTATTGAAGGGAATAATTTTTTAATTGAAAATATATTTTTTGATTGAAGCAACCTTTTTTTTTTTTTTATTCCGGTTTTTAACACTTTTAGCCCATTTTCTGTAGTGTCCAGGATGAAATCGAATGATCGACACCAAAATTTTGACAATTGGTCCTGTCTCTGATATTTGGCTCATGCAGAATCCCCCCCCCTGGCTGCTTCAGAATGGCTTCCATAGTGCATGTCCGATAATGTCCTTAAAACAACCTTAAACGTTCTTTTTTTTAAATATGCTACTCACCGGGTCGTCAGCGCTGTTCAATGACGTTCCAAAAAAAGTTTCGTAAAGAAAAAACGTTCCTGTAGTGTTTTATTTAGCATTTTGTAAATCCCATCGAGTTCTGTTGGAATAGTCAATATCCCTCCGCCACCGGAAACGGAAATGGGGCCTGTTTACGCTTAGTTGTAGTCTTTTCGCAAGGCCCAAGTGTTTCTGCTTCACTCTGTGTACTCCGACGTCGAGGTGCTAACGTCTCTGTTAAACACTTTAAAAAACTCTGAAAATGGAATACGAAAGGTGGATTCTTGAGGAGGACATATTGGACTTTGAGTTTGACGGTAGAGGATACCGTCACCAACTAGTGGTCTGGAGTGTGCAACGCTTCAGATTCGAACGGGAAGCGGAAGTTTATAAGCGGTTGTGATGTATCGGAAAAAATAGTTCTGGGATTTACAAAATGCTAAATAAAACAAGACAGGAGCGGTTTTTCTTCACAAAACTTTTTTTGGAACGTCATTGAACAGCGCTGACGACCCGGTGAGTAGCATATTTAAAAAAAAGAACGTTTAAGGTTGTTTTAAGGACATTATCGGACATGCACTATGGAAGCCTTCTGAAGCAGCCAGGGGGGGATTCTGCATGAGCCAAATATCAGAGACAGGACCAATTGTCAAAATTTTGGTGTCGATCATTCGATTTCATCCTGGACACTACAGAAAATGGGCTAAAAGTGTTAAAAAACGGAATTTTCCTTTAATATATTAATTTTCCCGCTGCTCGTTTTTTCCCCATTCCTACATGTGTGCATTTATTTTTTAATCCATCCCTCAGTTTATTCATGCTTGTTGCTGTTGGCCCTTCTGTTGCTCCGTCCATCCGTATCTATTTGCTTCCAGATCCTGGCCTCTGTAGAAATAATTAGCATGAATTAAATTACTTTTAGTTTAAAGATTGACTAAAAATTAGAGTAATTAGGAAAAAAAGATTCTAAAGAAATCAATGAAATTCAACAGTGGAAAATATTTCGGAATTTAGTGTTTGTATTTAATTTATTTACTTTTTTTAGGAGGAGGAAATCAAAGGTTGCAGTGGAAGGCCAGCTCTATAGAGGAGAATTATGAGCTTTGATGCATTGTTTGTAGTTTTAAATGCCTAGAAAAAAACCACCAACAACCTTTCTGTGTCATTGATAAATATTCATCAGCCAAGCCCAGCGTCCTTCTTGCTATTCCTGTGGGGGTAAAACCACCTCCTGCATACCACAAACCCCCAGGGACGCCTAATGTAGCTCACATGGTTGGGTTCAAACGCACACAATCCTTTATGTGGCATTCAGGGAACACATACTCTGTCCTTCATCCCCAAATGTCTCTCCTCTGACTGTCAGCAGTGTGATGTTAAAGGTTGTCATGTGCAGACAAAGAGCTGTGGACGTGTTGCTGTGTGTTTTATCCAGAGTGATGGGAAGTATCTGAGACAGAAGCTTGTAGACTTAATTATTCCTGACAGGAACGTAGCTGCAAGGAGGAGGTTTGATTAGACTTTCAGGTTTCCTGGTGGATATGTGGGATCTTTTAGGTGGGGGTGCAGGATCAGAGGTCAGAGTTTGGACTGACTTGGACTAAAATGCGTTTTAGTAAATCTATAAAGACTATGAATCACTTTTCTACTCACCATTAAATGTCTTCTTGTTTGTTTTGCTGCTTTATACATATCTTTAGAATTACTTTTTTAGCAGTATTCTAAACTAATGTTCTGTGCACTTTGTGTCTGTTCATGGTTGATAGATATGTGAACACATTGCTGAAACTGGTTCCTCGAGTGCTGGCCCTCCAGGATCAGCTCAGGGAGGCTGTTCAGAATGGAGACATGGAGACCTGCCATGGGATCTGCCGGATCGCCGTAACACTGGGAGAAAACCACTCCAGGTGTGTTTAAGATGTTATCGAGATGTGATGGTTAATCTAACGCTCTTTAGGACCGCACAGTTTTTCCTTTTGACCTCCCTGATTGGTGTCTGGCTGCTCAGAAACTCAAAAATCTAATATTTTTCTGGTCAGAAAATGTCCCATGAACTCATGCTGCCTGGTCTTTCTGAACACAAAGTTTCGGTAAACATGTAACAAATATCATTCAAAGAAATCTCCAAAGCTTAAGGCAAGGCAAGGCAAATTTATTTGTATAGCACAATTCAGTACAAAGACAATGCAAAGTGCTTTACATGATTAAAATATAGGAAAATAAAACAGAATCAAAGCAAGTAGGAAAAAAATATAAAAATAAAAAAAATGCAGACTCCAACAATGACGTCTTTACCAACTTCTGTCAACCCTGTTGACTTTTTTATTTATTTTAAACACAACGTTGGTTTTTTAAGAAGTCGATTAAATGGAAACTTTGCTTTCTGCAGATGTAATTCAGCAACTGAAGCTTATTTCACTCTTTTAATTGCCTAATTTCTCTGCTGTTTGCTCATTTCTATTCAAATCATTTTGATAAAACTAAAGGGCTCTAAAGGGCTGCTTATACTCCCAGCAGCAGTGTGTCGCAGTGAGCTTGTCACAGGTATGTCGCAGATATTTTCTATTTATGCCCAATTTTGAAGTGTGGTCTCATTCAATGCCACAAAGCAAGAGGGACAATTAGGAACTGGAACTAGATGTGGATCTAGATATTTGCCGAGGCGGTGAAGAAGTGGGAGCAAGATTGTGCGACAATGAAGGGAAATGAAGGCGAAAAAGAGCGGGGATCCAAGTGGAAAAAGGTGGTTTCTGAGTTCAAATCAGCCTTAACTGTGGAGACGTTTCATTGAAAGGAGAGAAGGGCAAATGAACCCAGACCAGTTATGCAGATAAAAGGAAGAGTGAATAGACAAAGTCTTGTTATATGACTTTTATTATTTGTTGTTACACAATTCATTAGTAAATAAACTCCCCCATTGTATATTCACCATAAACAACATCAAACAACTAGTGTTACAATGGTTGTAACTAGAGATGTCCCGATCCAGGTTTTTGCACTTCCGATCCGATACCGATATTGTTTTTGGACTTCCGATCCGATACCGATACTGGCCGATACCAGCCTATCCGAGCATGTATTTAAGTTTAAGTTAAAGTATTTAGCCTTAGTTGTAAGACTCATGTTGAAAAGGGTTTTAGTACTCTTGATAACATCTAGCCAGCTGAATTCGGTGAGATTGAATAAAACACAATGCTTGGTAACAACAAACTTACCTGTTTATTAAGAAATAAACACAAACTGGACAAAATTATGAATAGTAATCTGAAATTGCACAGTGAACAGTAAAACCGTAAACAGTTAAAGGTGCAAGTATTACTGTAAGTTTAAATAAAAATGCAAAACAGACAAGAGTGAAAAATAATAACTTAGAATCAGGACTCTACTTTTGAAAAAAGACACTCCTTGAAACAAAAATCAGTGCAAATAATAAGTGAACTATTGCACAAAAATGCCTTATACTCCCCAATCTCCTCCACACCAAGTCTCCATCTACACACTCCCTTCAACTGTTTGCCCTGACTGCTGTCCAAGCATGATGGGGAGATTCTTTTTTACAAAGACGAGCATTTCAAGATTCTCAGGTGTCAGCCTGCTCCTGTGTTCATCAATGATGAGTGAGACTGCGCTAAAAAGCCTTTCGCTTTCAACGCTGGTGCAGGGAGCACTGAGGAACTTGGCTGCCGTTGCTGCCAGGGTGGGTAGTCGAGCCTGATTGTCTCTCCAGTAGTTAAAAGGATTGTTCTTATGCCCAAGTGGAGGCTCACTGAGGTAGCTCTCCAACTGAAACAGTGCCCCTGGGGTGATCTGCTGCTCAGACGGACCTGCTGTGTAGTTCTCCTGCAGTATCTCGTCAAAGTAGCAGCCCAGGCTGCTGGTTGAGCTTCCAGCCTCCATTCCTGGTGGTTGCTTTGCTGTCTCAGGTTCAGCCACACCTTCTCTAGAGGGCATGGTCTTCAGCTCTCGTTCCATTTTCATCACCTCTACTTTTACTGCCTCCTTTGCCTGATCCAGGTTGGCAGCAGTGAAGAACCTTAACATTTGGATAAAATGTAATAAAGATGTATCAATTATTTTATGTTTCAGCCAGTGTCCACATATTAATGTTCAATGAAAACAAGTAACATACAAAATAGATCACATAGATCAGATAGCTGAACAATAATAATAATCAGCAGTCGAGTTGTAAAAAAAGAATGGGGATGATCGATTTTTATTTTTATTTTTTTGAAAGAATCCATAGCCTAATTAATATATTCTATTAACCTAAAGCACTATGCCTGGTCTGGTTGTTCCATGTCAGATACGCCGGTCATTGAGCTTTACCAAGGCACCTTACAGTAGAACTGCAGTCAGTCCCCATGTCTATCACTTCCCCTACATAGTTAGGGACTAATTTCCCACTGAGCTCAGCTTCATAGTCATGGTGGGACACTTGATTGATTTTACAGTGGAGAATCTTTTATTTAGAAATAAATAACAACTGTAGAGTAAAATAATTAAATTATTGTACTATAGCTTGTAACTCACTCAAATAATAATAATACTAATAATAATAATAATACTATTAATAATAATAGTAATAAAATTATTTAATAATAATAATAATAATCACTTACTTGTCTTTGTAGCGTGGATCCAGCATTGTTGCCACGGCATAGAGGGGTTCAGTTTCCACGTAGTCAAAACGTGTGTGCACAGCATCCAGTAAGGTAGCCTTCATGGTTTGAAGCCCTCGGTGTTCTTCGCTCTCACTGTCCAGAAAGCGTGTCAGGACACGGACAGATGGGATGACATCTGCTGCTGTGGCAGAGGCAGCACTGACCTCCGCGGTCATCTCTTGGAAGGGTTTAAGGACTATCGCCGTTTTTTCTAGCAGCGACCACTGGTTGGCTGTTAATGTGGCTGGCAGATTGCTGTCGCTATCCGATGCATAGGCCTGCAGTGCCCGCTTACAATGCACTAGGCTGTCAATCATCATCTTTGTACTGCTCCATCTGGTCTTAACATCTTGTTCACTGCAAAAACAATCCAGAAATAAGTAAAAAATGGCTTAAATTAAGTATATTTAGCCTTAATTTGAGCAGGTAAATAAGATGATTTGCCAATGGAATGAGTATTTTTACTCTTAAAATAAGATAGTTAGATAAGATTTACTTGAAATAAGACGATAAAATAGTTTTTTCTTATTTTAAAAGGAAATTGTCTTGTTCCATTGGCAAAGTGTCTTACTTACCTCCTCAAATCAAGGAAAAACACACTTATTTTAAGAAAAAATAACTTATTGAGATTTCTTTTTTTTGCAGTGTTGCAAACGTTTCGGTTCAACATTCATCTCTTCCTCAACATGATTGTCTCTCCAGTAGTTAAAAGGATTGTTCTTATGCCCAAGTGGAGGCTCACTGAGGTAGCTCTCCAACTGAAACAGTGCCCCTGGGGTGATCTGCTGCTCAGACGGACCTGCTGTGTAGTTCTCCTGCAGTATCTCGTCAAAGTAGCAGCCCAGGCTGCTGGTTGAGCTGGTTGAGCTGGTTGCTGGTTGAGGTCCATCTTTGTACTGCTCCATCTGGTCTTAACATCTTGTTGCAAACGCTTCGGTTCAACATTCATCTCTTCCTCAACATCCTCGAGTTCCGAGTATGCCTTGGGGGAGTGCTTGAAGTGGGTTACTATTTTTCTCCCGTTAGCGATGGCATCGCTTACAGCTCGCTGTGCAAATAGACCGTGTTGGACAACCAGCTGTAAAGTGTGCGCAAAACATCCCAGGCTGGGCACACCGAGCTGATCCATTGCTTTTTTCATGTTGGCCGCATTGTCCCTTAAAACTACATGGACCCTCTTTTTATCAATCTTCCAAGCCAGTAACATATGTTCCATGGCGTCTGTATTGGCATTCGCTGTGTGGGAGCCTCTTAACTCACGCGCATGTAAAACCGCTCTTTTGGGGTTGAAGTCTGGCCCAATCCAGTGTGCAGTTAAACTTAATAAAGATAAAGGACGGTGAGCACAGCTCCATATGTCGGTTGTGAAACTAAGCGCTGTTGCACTCTCTACTTGTTTTTCAATATAACTTCGAACGTCTTTGTGAATCTGGGGGATAGTTTTCTCGAGGATGTAGTGACGGCTGGGCATGTTGTATCGTGGTTCCAGGTGTTGGATGGTGCGTCTAAAGCCCACTTTACTGACGAGAGATAACGGCTCGTCATCCAGCATTATTTCCTCAGCAATGACTCTTGTTATCCCTTGGGCTTTCGCACTATTAAGTGGCAGCATATCACGCTTCCCAAATGTTTCTGCAAGAGTTAGTTGTGTAGGACCTTTCTTTTTCTTGTCGTCGGTTTTCTTTAGAAACTCTTGATGTTCTTTATGATGATATTTCGCTAGATGCTTGATCAGATCTGTTGTGTTAAAATGTCTCACAGCCTTACCACCACGCTTGACTCTAATGTGGCATGTTTTACACTCCGCCTCATCATCTTTTTCATCATGCAGGATAAAATAATCCCACACGGATGACATTTTCCCCGCTATCTTCCAATTCACCTGTTTTAATGGTTAGGCCGGGACACAGAGCCAAAAAGACCTGTGGGTGTGTTGAAGGTGTTCTGGAAAATGCGGACCGGAGTCGGGGAACACTGGCGCAAAATAGTGGAATGGATCGTTTCAATTGGCGTAACTGGAAAATACGGACCGGATTTTTTTTTTTTAACTGGATCGGCAGTCTGGATCGGCATTTTTACATGCTTTGCCGATACGTATTTTTTGCCAATATCGGCGCCCGATCCGATACGTGGATCGGATCGGGACAAGCCTAGTTGTAACGGCATCAATCAGGATAGGGGTATAACCCAAAGTAAAAATAGAGTAAAAAATAAATAAATAAAAGGAGACAGATAAATGAAAATAAAAAAAATAAATAAGAAAGGGGGACGGGGTTAAAGTTTAATGTATTTCAACAAGTAATTAATTGAGCATCTAATTTCTCCACAAAGTTTAGAAATGGTTCACAAGTTGAATCAAATTTGGATATAGATCCTCTCACAGTGTCTGTAATGTTTTCTAGTTTTAATGACTGCATAAGCGCTTTAATCCAATGAGCATAAGTAGGGGGTGAGGCCTCCTTCCATTTGAACAGTATTAACCTCCGTTCTAGTAAAGTAGTGTATGCCGCCACATTGGTCTGAGTGGCATGTACAGGGCTCGATGTTAACCATCGCCCGATCTCCCGGGGCAAGTAGTTTTTATTGTCGGGAGAGTACAAATTTAATTGCATTTGCCCACCAGGCAATGATCACAAAAAAAATTATTTATCACTCAAAATTCATTTAAAATCACCAACATTTGATGAAAACGACCTAGAAGCGTTGCCGGCGCCATTTTTGTTGTTTTGTACACATTCTCACGTGATTTTAAAAAGGCGCGTGATTTGAAAAAGCCGGGTGATTTTCTGCCAGATAGTGGGATTTTTGTCCACCTAGCGGTAATTTTGCTGTAGTACCCAAAACGACAAATGGCTGCAGTTATTTAGTCAGGGAAAACTAATCCTGAGTCAGTTAAAAGTCAGGGAATTCTGAAATGATGTCAGACTGTGGAAACCCTGAATAAAATAACTATGTATAATGATTCTCTAGAAAAGTCACATTATATTAATAGTATTATCTTGTATAAACATACCGTGACTCTAAAATAAAAGTTATTCATTTGTGACATTGACTTCTGTCTTGTGATTTATTTTTAAGTTTTTTTTAGATTTTTAACATTACAATTTATATTTTTCCAAGCACACAACAGTTTAAAGCAAAGTTTAGTTTGAAAAAAATGTGCAGGAAGGATTGAAAAGCATGTTATCACCGTAATGTAGGCTTGAGTTCATTATCTGACGCATGCAGATACACACCAGGAACCTGGAAACTTAAAAAAATAGTGAATTACAAAAAACATTTAAAAAAACAAACATGTTTCATTGATATATATACAAAAAGGAATATTAGGAACTATATTTATCAAACATTATACTGGGCAAGTAAAAATTGTTTCTGGGCAAATGAAATGTGAAAGTCACAAATGGTGGCCACTGCGATTTTAAAATTATATTTTGTTAAATTGTTGTTATATTGCAAACAGTTTTAAGTGCCTGTCTGTAATTTAACAGAAGGTAATCAAACTTTGCTGATCTTTGTTGCTTTGAGGGTTGAGTCCTACTGTGACATCTAAATCTCTCTCCATCTTTGTACCATCCCTCCTTCTTGTCATCTGCAGGACTCTGTTGGAGCAGGTGGATCACTGGCAGAGCTTCCTGGCTTTGGTCAACATGATCATGTTTTGTACAGGCATCCCCGGCCATTATCCAGTCAATGAGACCACCAGCTCCCTCACACTTACCTTCTGGTACACACTACAGGTAAGCACTGCTAACATTTAGTTTCAATTTAGAATATTTAGTATGAAAAACATTTAAAATGTATGTTCTGTGTGTATAAATACACTTTGTAGGTTGTTGTTTTTTTAAACGCAAAAGTGATGGTTGTATTTCTTTTTCTCAGGATGAAATCATGTCGTTTGAGTCAGATAAGCAGGCGGTGTATCTCCAGGTCTACAGACCAGTTTACTTCCAGTTGGTGGATGTGCTGCTTCACAAAGCCCAGTTTCCATCTGACCAAGAATATGCATCGTGGTCCTCAGATGAAAAGGAGCAGTTCAGGATTTACAGGTGAGTTACGTCTAATAAACATGCAGGCGTGTTTTACAAATGACTCACTGACTGGATGATTGGGCAGCAAATGAGAGAGTTTTCTCGTTAATGGCGTCTAAATTCAGTGGCCATCTGACACTGAACAGAGAGAAAGCCTCATGCCTGTTTGTGCTGATCTGTCGTTCAGGGTGGATATCTCAGACACACTCATGTATGTGTATGAGATGCTGGGGGCCGAGCTGCTGAGCAACCTATATGATAAGCTAGGAAGACTGCTGACAAATACAGAGCAGCCGACGTCATGGCAGGTGAGTGAGACAGATTAGAAATACTAGAATGAGGTGATGTGAGCTATTTTCTGTTTCTTTTTCATGCATAAAAATCTTCCCCATTTATTCTCCTCGTTCAGCACACGGAAGCTTTGCTGTATGGATTCCAGTCCATAGCAGAAACAATAGATGTGAACTACTCTGACGTCATCCCAGGCTTGATAGGACTCATCCCTCGGATCAACATCACCAACGTCCAGTTAGCCGACACGGTCATGTTCACTATAGGTGAGGGGATGGATTCAAAATGGAGAATCTGTTTCTGGTTGTGTCTCTGAGTTCCTGCTCTCCCTGTAGGTGCTCTGGCTGAGTGGTTAGCTGACCACCCGGTGATGCTCAGCAGTGTCCTACCTTTGGTTTTACAAGCGTTAGGGAACCCAGACCTTTCTGTGTCCTCTGTTTCAACCTTAAAGAAAATCTGCAGGGAATGCAAGTATGACCTGCCACCCTACGCAACCAACATCGTAGCTGTTTCTCAGGTGAGTGCAGTTCTGGTAGATGAAGGGCGGATTAAAACAGCTTAAAACAGAACATTTGATATTTTTTCTGTTCACCTGACCCACCATGCATTAAAGCAACCAAATTAAAGGTATTGTGGAGGATTTTATCAATTAGAAAAAAAAACCCGTCCCCTCCTTTTTAAAAAAAATGCGCGTGCGAGGGCGTGCACGAGCCCATTTCTCTCCGTGCACGCTCTGTTTAAAAGTTGCTGTTCTCATCGCTCATACAAGCTTACTGTGTCCGAACGTCCGCTCTGACCCCTAAATCCCTCAATCACTATATAGAGCAGGGAAGATAAAGTGGACTTTATAGTGAACTCAGTTATCTGACCGACAGATGATCATTTCCTCATTGGTCCACCGCGTGGTGCCTGCGCCATCTTTATTGGTCGCAACTGTCTCCAACTGCGACAGCAAATCCCATAATGCTTTGCGTGGAGAGTTCTCCGAGCAAAGCATTCTGGGATATATCTAGCTCTTCTGAGGCCTTTTTCTTCTCATAAACTGCGTAGACACTTTTTATCTTACCACACTCAGCCATTTTTAAAGAACCGCGGTTAAAAAGGTGAACTTCAATGACTGAAACCGTGGCTCACCACTGATATACGCCTGAAAGTGCGCAGAAAAAGATAGCTAAGTAGAACAAGCACGTAGGACGGCCTTAGGTAAAGATATCACCAGAATGATTGACAATTAGGAGGACCACTTATTTAGGTAATCCACCCGGAAATAAAAGATAGTCCTCTAAGGAAACAGAAACACAGACTGATGTGGAAGCGCTGTAACTGAGAGATTGAGACTCGTTTATTGATCATCGCCAGTGGAAGCTGTTTTAGCCAAACCTGTCACAAATCCTCCGTATTTAAAAAGGCAATGAAAGAGAGGAAGGCTTTAGCAGAAAATGGGAAGGCTGAACATTTCAGCAAAGCTGATCTGTTTAAGGCTTTTCTATCTGGAATGTAAAGTCATGGCAGTCTTTTTGAAATCTAAAATCTGAGGCCCCGTCCACACGAAGTCAAAACGAACACGAAACGCTTATATTTTCCAGAACGTTTGTCGTAAAGACGTAAAATAAATGTGATCGTCCACACGAATGCATGAAAACGCTGCAAAATGTATGCCAGGCCTGTAAGTGGCGCTGTGGTGCCAAAGCAAAAATAGGCGAAAACAGGCAACGAAATGTTGGGCATGCGCAGTAATATTTATACATGGTTGCCCTGCGGGTCCATTTTCGTGGTTCAGTCAAATTCAGGTGCTGAACTATGTCGTCGATATTGCTCTGTTCTTCCTGGAGATATTCCAGAAGAAGAAGATTCTGTTGTAAGCCCGACAGCAGGGTGAGTAGCATGAGCAGCAACGGCGCCATTGTTGTTGTGATACTGTGTCGCGCATGCGTGTTTAGAGGCGACGCTATGACGCATGCGTGTAAAAAAAAAAATGCGGTTAGAGCTTAAGGATGGAAACGCGAAAACGGGTTTCAAAATCTTCCCACTCTGAAGGCTTAATAAAAAAAAGATCGTTTACAGACCCCCGAAACGCCGGCTTCGTATGGATGAGAGGCTGGTTTGGTGAAAAATTTTTGCGTTTAGGCCAGGGTTCGGCTTCATGTTCTCCAGGCTATCAGCAGCGTCATCCCTGTAATGCTAACCACTGTCTTAGGAAGTTTAACAATCAAACTTTTTTGTGTATCTTTGTTTTAAATAAATTAAATCCTGTTTTGCAGCAGCTGCATTGCTCTTCTCATAGTCGGCAGAAATAACAATCCCTGCGCTGCTCTTTTATAATATGCAGTCATTTTTTATTAAATTAGATATTATTGAAAAATATTTATTTCAGTCACTAAGTTCCTCAAGGGAAACACAGAGAATATTTTTTTGAAGCTTTCATTTCTGTCGACTATGATTATTTTCTACTCAAAGCGAATGAAAACACATTTTAAGCTTAGAAGATTCTGTGAATAGTAAAAACGGTTTGAATGCAGAAACAGCTTTTATGGAAATTATATTCAATACCAGTTAAAATTATTCTGAAAAGTTACTTTTAATCAGAAAAACAGGTCTCCTTGGATCTCATATTCTAATTTGTTAATTATGACTGTAGTTTTAAAAAGATATTTTAACTTTCAAAAAAATAGTATAAGCAGTTTCCCTAAAAAAAATCCTTTAAGAAAATCATAAATTTGTCACAAAACGTGGACGTCTCTGATAGCTCATTTCCTCCTTTATGTTCCAGACTGTTTTAATGTGTCTTTAGATTCCAGAAATAACGTTTGAGCTAGTTCTGTAAAGAGGATTTTTAGTTTTTATCTGTGATGTTTCTTCAGACTAATAATAGAGCATCACTCTTACCTTTTGTTTTGTTTTCTTTCTCTAAAGGAGGTGCTTATAAAACAGATCCACAAGGTTGGTCTCTCTCATCTTTACTCTGTTTCTGTAGATCAGAGTTAAAATACCAAATACTGAAAAAATCTGTTGTGCTGTTGATTTTTTTTTTTTATATAAACGTTTCGTTGACTAAAAAAAAATCATTGTTTGCAAAACTTGGTCTCTTCTAACAGACCAGTCAGTGTATGTGGCTGATGCAGGCTCTGGGATTCCTGCTTTCCGCTCTTCCTGTGGAGGACATCTTGAGAAACCTTCATTCCCTCATCACCCCCTACATTCAGCAACTCGAGAAGCTAGCTGATGAGACGGTCAGTTCACACCCAGTGCAGAACAACACACACACACACTCACACAGATGGACTCAGGCCAAGCCGAGCAGGCTTTGTGTCTGTGTGGTGTCACTGCAGTGGAACGATTCGCCGCAGGACCAGATTGGGTTTGACCCTGCACCATTGGCAAGTGACTCATGTTGGATCACCAAAGATGTCCGTTCTTGACTCATACAAGCCCTAACTCTTAAATGAGACGGGTGTCCTGAATAACAGACTATCTGGAGCTGAAGCTGTTGTGCATTTACTCACAGTCTTTCAGAAATAAAAGTACAATCTGTTTCAATGTCTTTGTGTAACAGAAGTCAGACTCTTGTTGGATGGTTAAAAAAGGACCTAAAAATAGTTGGACATTAGCTTTTTGTTGGATGGAATGATCAGAGACTCTTTGCTCTATAATAACACTCTGTGTAATCCATCTCAGCACCCCCCCCCCCTCTCATTGTCATGACATTACGTCAGACAAAGCCGTCTGGGGCTTGCCAAATAGTGGCACCTAGTGGGGAGGTCTTTGACTTCCATTATGTGAGAAGAAGCCGAATGTCTGAAGGCGCTGACCTAAAAAAAGAAGCAAAGATTGATACACTTAGATGAGCACTGAGCAATTTAAGATCATCTAATGTTAATTTTCTAGAGGCGCTGTTGTAGAGAGAGGCATTGGTCCATGTTTGTAGAGATTACAAAGGTGGTAGATCAGTGGGTGTGGCAGCAGCGTTGTTTGTCTTCCTGTTGCTACCATCATCTCCATGGAGACACTAATTAAGCTCTCCTGTTGAAGCCGTGATTTTTAAAGCTAAATTTAAAAAATGAAGTAAATCTCAAGGCCAGTTAGCAACATTTGTCCCTGCTTCACAGATTAGTCTGAGGTCATAACACCATGTTTAGAGAATAAAAAGCATCCTGTTAGCATACAGCTCACAGAACACTTAGATTACACATCCCATAATGCACTGCAGCAACCACTGCAGTCACCTCAGGTCTATTTTCCAAACTAGCATGATGGATTCAAAGTGTATTTACATCATTTTTGCAAAGATCTGAGTTAGACTACATTTTTTTTTACACAATTATTCGATTTTAATTTTTGTTTTTGTTTAATAACATTTTTAGTGGGACATTTATCTGTAAACTGAACTTAATTTATTTATTTTTTTTAAATATGATTGAAAACTTTGTGTTAAGAAAACGTTTAAGGTAAATATTGATCGGTTTATTGTTAATTAGGAAAACAACCTGCCTGTGTTTGCACTGATTAAACTAGTGTGAGAAAAGCTTTTCCTCCTTTCTTGTTTAGTTGTTTTCATTTTACTTTGTTCTTCCTTTTTTAAATTAATAATCAAAATAAATTAGATCCTATCAAAGAATAATCTGAGCAACTGTCATGTTTCTGTTTCTGTTAAATGAAGTCTAAAAATGAAAGCAAACTCTTTGTTATAATTAAAGTTTTTCCTCTTTCTCCGTTTCCTTCCTACAGCCTAATCCCTCCAATAAACTGGCAATCATTCACATCCTGGGGCTGCTCTCCAACCTCTTCACTACGCTCGACATCAGCAAGCAGGACGATGAGTCGTCGGACGGCTCCGCTCCACCGGTTAAAGCAACCCCACCCCCTCCAGGACCAAATCCGGTCCGTCTCTACACGCCACAACCAGCCTGTAGATATAATTGGGTAGCTTAAAGCCGGGCATACACCGTACTATTTTTTTCAATTGTTTCATGCAGCTACAGCTCAAAATGTACGACGAAACCGCAGAGTTTAAAAGTTCACAGCTCACGATGTTAGTTCTTATGCTGTGCGACCTGACGCTCTGATGCGATCTACCTGCTACAGCTGTACGTCTAAAAACCACGTAGGACTCAGCTCCGCAGTGAGATGGCGCTACTCGGACTCGTCTATCTGGAAGCCAAACGAGTAGAAGAGGAATATGAAGCTCAATAGAGAGAAATGCGCGGCTTTGGCAATTTGTGCAATTTTGTGCTGAAAGCCCTAAAAAGAAAATTTGACGACTTATTTAACAAAGACATGGCTGAGCAAATGTGGCTACTACGGTCTGTAAATGTTACAGAAAGATCTCCATTTCACTCATTACACCCCCGCCATGCTTCTGTGTTTTCCTCTGAGAGGAAGAAGAAGAATCCTTGTTTAAGCACTGAGCGATTTGCCCACAACCACCTTATGACGACCAACTGAATTTCAAACACGTTTGATTTTCTCCTGACTAGGGCTGGGTAAAAAAATCGATTTAATCGATTTTGAATAGATTCCTTTACATTTTTGCAAAATCGATGTCTAGGGAATGAGATCGATTAGTTTTATAGTAACGCCCGCGACGTTCACATCGCCCCTCGTTACCCCCCTGTACACTACACAACGCATGGTCACGCTGAAAGTCGGCCTGATTGAAAAATTCTGGCACGACTGGAAAATCGTCCCTAAAAAGGGCAAAAAGTCCTACAGTGTCCGCCCGGCTATAGACGCCAATCACTGTAGTGTGATGATGGCTAACAGTAAAGGGAAAGCATCACTTTAAGGTTTTTACATGTGTCCATGGCAGTGATAGAACTGACTTCTATTTAGTGAAGCACTTGTCATGTTCAGATGTTACTGGCTGTGTTTTGTTTTTTTTATCATTTCTATATTTTTTCTCCACCTATCTTCCTGGTTTCAGGTTGTGGTCGTTTTGCAGCAGGTTTTTGCTCTCATACAAAAGGTTCTGAGTAAGTGGCTGAACGACTCCCAGGTGGTAGAGGTATGTAGACACGCAGAGTCCGGTTCCGCTCACCTCTCTATGTCTGGGTCGACCCACTGCAGTGTTTGATGCTTTGCAGGCGGTGTGCGCCATCTTCGAGAAGTCCGTGAAGACCCTCCTGCATGATTTCGCCCCCATGGTGTCTCAGCTGAGTGAAATGCTCGGCCAGATGTACAGTACGATTCCCCAGGCATCTGCTCTTGACCTAACACGACAGGTATACGGCCAACGAAACAGCGAAAGGCACAAGACGAATGGAGCTTTGTTAGCGAAGGCATGGAGTGAGCTGAAAAATGAAAAGGACAGATTGTTCGGTTGGGAAATATCCTGAATATAATTCCTTACTAGGCTCTAAGCTTCCCGCTGTTTGACAAAATATAATGTTATTAATTTATTTATAAGTAGACTATTTTCTAATAAGAGACAAAAAGGAGAGCATTTACCATGACTAATTTCCTTATTCATCTTTTTTTCCTTGTCAGAAATGACATAATACTTTAGGCGAATATTTTTCTATGAATAAGTCCTGTTATTTTGTTTAAAGATAAATACAGGTGCTGGTCATAAAATTAGAATATCATGAAAAAGTAGATTGATTTCAGTAATTCCATTTGAAAAGTGAAACTTGTATATTATATTCATACATTACATACAAACTCATATATTTCAGATGTTTATTTTGTTTAATTTTGATGATTACAAATGACAACAAATGAAAATCTCAAATTCATCATATCAGAAAATTAGAATATTGTGAAAAGGTTCAAAATTGATGGCCCCTGGTGCCACACTCTAATCAGCTAATTAACTCAAACAACCTGCAAAAGCCTTTAAATGGTCTTTCAGTCTAGTTCTATAGGCTACACAATCATGGGGAAGACTGCTGACTTGACAGTTGTCCAAAAGACGACCATCGACACCTTGCACAAGGAGGGCAAGACACAAAAGGTCATCGCTAAAGAGGCTGGCTGTTCACAGAGCTCAGTGTCCAAGCACATTAATAGAGAGGCGAAGGGAAGGAAAAGATGTGGTCGAAAAAAGTGTACAAGCAAGAGAGATAACCGCACCCTGGAGAGGATTGTGAAACAAAACCCCTTCAAAAATGTGGGGGAGATTCACAAAGAGTGGACTGCAGCTGGAGTGAGTGCTTCAAGAACCACCACACACAGACGTATGAAAGACATGGGTTTCTGCTGTCGCATTCCTTGTGTCAAGCCACTCTTGAACCACAGACAGCGTCAGAAGCGTCTTGCCTGGGCTAAAGAGAAACAGGACTGGACTGCTGGTGAGTGGTCCAAAGTCATGTTCTCTGATGAAAGTAAATTTTGCATTTCCTTTGGAAATCAAGGTCCCAGAGTCTGGAGGAAAAGAAGAGAGGCACTTCATCCACGTTGCTTGAAGTCCAGTGTAAAGTTTCCACAGTCAGTGATGGTTTGGGGTGCCATGTCATCTGCTGGTGTTGGTCCATTGTGTTTTCTGAGGTCCAGGGTCAACGCAGCCACATACCAGGAAGTTTTAGAGCACTTCATGCTTCCTGCAGCTGACCAACTTTTTGGAGATGCAGATTTCATTTTCCAACAGGACTTGGCACCTGCACACAGTGCCAAAGCTACCAGTACCTGGTTGAAGGACCATGGTATCCCTGTTCTTAATTGGCCAGCAAACTCTCCTGACCTTAACCCCATAGAAAATCTATGGGGTATTGTGAAGAAGAAGATGCAATACACCAGACCCAACAATTCAGAAGAGCTAAAAGCCACTATTAGAGCAACCTGGGCTATCATAACACCTGAGCAGTGCCACAGACTGATCGACTCCATGCCACGCCGCATTGCTGCAGTAATACAGGCCAAAGGAGGCCCAACTAAATACTGAGTGCTGTACATGCTCATACTTTTCATGTTCATACTTTTCAGTTGGCCAACATTTCTATAAATCCTTTGTTTTTATTGGTCTTCAGTAATATTCTAATTTTCTGATATGATGAATTTGAGATTTTCATTTGTTGTCATTTGTAATCATCATAATTAAACAAAATAAACATCTGAAATATATGAGTTTGTATGTAATGTATGAATATAATATACAAGTTTCACTTTTTAAATGGAATTACTGAAATCAATCTACTTTTTCATGATATTCTAATTTTATGACCAGCACCTGTAGATTTGCTTCTTTAGAAATAATTGACCCGTTTGAAGGTGAATTCTGAATGCTGGGTTCATTTCTATGTCTGAAATCTGTTAGAGCAAAACAAAGTCAAACATGAGAGTCATGGGGATAAGGTGTGGAAAGCCGTAGAACAAAAGAGAAGGTAGTAGAGCTGCCCTGCCCAAACGTGAGTTCATTAAGTCCCTGTCACACCTTTCTGATTTAGCCTATGCCTGACGTCCCGGAATCTTCTAAAACGCTGACATACGCTGAACTTTCTAAGTATTTTTTTCCAAGTTTGGGCATATGCATAGTACGGAAGAGGATTAGGGCCACTAAAAAAAATAAAAAAAGTTAACTGATTTTTAAATTTGATTTCAGTTATATGGGGAAAAAATACTCTTTTGTCAGAATTCGACTTTTTTGTCAGAATTCGACTTTTTTGTCAGAATTCTGACTGTTTTGTCAGAATTCTGACTTTAATCTCAGAATTCTGACAGCTAACAAACATGTTAGCATCAAGCCATAGCCATGTCTGTTTTAGAGACTAGCTCTCTTGTTTTAATGACCTTCTGCTCTTCCGTTAATGAGGGAGTCCCTCTGGGATGTAAAAAGTTGCCTAATTCCGTCATTTTCCACCAATGTGTTACTGTTCCTCCCAAAAAACTCACATCTTTGTCAGTGAAGCTGAGTGCTCCACATATCTTCCTTCATGGTGCCCATCTACATTAAGATCCACAATTCTGAGAAAAAAGTCAAAATTCTGAGAAAAAAGTCCGAATTCTGAGTTTTTTCCCATATTAAACTGAAATCAAATTTAAAAATTAGTTAACTTTTTTTTTTTTTCAGCGGCCCTACTCCTCTTCCGTAGCATAGTGTGTTCATAATGGGTCCAGAATTTAGGTCCAACGACAGCCTAACTTATGCTTTGTACACGGCAGCGTAATAACCATGAAATGTCACAAGCCAGTGTCCTATGGGGGGCAGCAATGCGCCCAGTGGTGCCCGGGCTGCATTAAAAGATTTGATTGCAGTGTTAACCTAGATGTTTACAGCCGGCCAAAAAAAAAAAGAATAAAGAAAAAGGAAGAAAAAAGGTTTGCAGTCGCAGAAGATACAGCGTCATGTTTGCCAGGAAGTTTGTTAGTTGTGGCCGTGAACGCAGGGAGGATCCATCACTCTCACCTTCTGGCTCACCCTATGAAGGGGATAAAGTCTGGAGGAGAACTGATGGTTTCCTCCTACCAAAACGCTTACAATACGCCATTATAAAGTAGCTGGAAGATAGAAACACATTTAGCGCTCGTCTGGAACACGTCAGATATGTTGATATGCATTGGAGAGAAGTTATGCACAAGTTACTCAAACAATTTAACATATGTAAACAATCAGATAACTTAGCTGTAACTTATGGCCCACGTAAGGCATACGCTGGCATATGTCCAGATATTTTAAGCATGTGACGTGTTCCAGGGTACTTCAGCATGCTCATAACATACAAAATGTACGCATAACTTATTCAACGTATGCCAACAATTTTGCCAGATTTTTTCCTACAGCAGGCAAACGCTGGTCTAAATCGTCAGGGTGTGACAAGAGCTTTAGGGAAACGTTTGTGTTTGAAAGGTGCTCTGTGTTTAGCCGGTCTCTGTGCAGTGGTCAATGATTAGTTCTTGATAAATATTACTTCAGTTTTGAAAACATTTTTGGAAACATTCAGGAAGTTGCCATAATTTTAAAGGGGAACGCCGTTTTTTTTTTTTTACATTGGTCCCTTGAGTTTACGTTATTCCATCATGTTCTACTCACCCATATGAGTTTTGTGTCATTTGGAGCCGTTCTGAAGATATTCCGTTAGGTTATATCCAAGTAACGTCTTCCTATGGGCAACGACTTGAAGGCACAAACTAAACTGTTCATGATTTATCATTTATGGTACGCCAGCATTCAGAACATGTAGGCCAATCACTGTCCCCCAGACATCCACGGTTATATTTTTGATATTTTATATGTTTTAAAAACAAAGCGGCGTGTGTATGACGTCATCCGCGCACACCGACTACCGTTCATTCTTCCTGTCCGCTGAACTGCTGCTAGTTTTCCTCACATGCCTGGAAGATGTCTAGTGCTGCTACCACAGATGATCTCGATCTCCAAATGGAATTGAACGATTCAGATTAGCTAGAATGAATAGAAGGGGTAGAGCGTAGCCGCCTGTGGACCGGGCTGCCTGTCACAACTCCAGTCCGGTGCACGGATGACATCACACACACTCCACTTTGTTTTAAAAAAAATATAAATATAAAAAATATAACTGCGGATGTCTGACGGACAGTGATTCGCCTACATGTTATGAATGCCGCCGTACCATAAAGAATAAATTATGAACAGTTTAGTTCGGAATATCTTCAGAATGGCTCCAAATGACACAAAACTCAAACGGTTGAGTAGAACATGATGTAATGATGTAAAATCAAGGGACCAATGTAAAAAAACAGCATTACCCTTTAACTCTTGTTATTGAGCATTGTTATTTTAAACAGCTGTTTTTTCCTCCCAGCAGCAGGATAGGCTTTTGATATTTTAAAGCAGATTAAAGCGTACCAGGCAGTAAGGAAGTAGTATTATTCCCTATCCTACTCTTAAATATCAAAAACTTGAGGTCGAGAACATAAAGTCAATTTTCTTGCAGTTTTCCTCCAAAAATCCATTCAGGTTAATGCAACACATGTGATTGACAGGCAGAAATACAATGAAGTCTAGATAGTTTATCAGAAGCCAATTATCAAAGGTAAGCATGCAGGGGAGTGAGCGAGTATTTAATAACACCATCTGCTGACATGAGCAGATGTTTTATTTAGACAGGGGACGTATGAAGCATGAAAACCAGTGAAAACAATCTGTTTTCTGTTTACAGCAGCAGGATCTCCTGCTCTTCAGTTTCACATCTCCTGCCTTCATTTACATTTTTTAAAGGATGAAGCTCCAAAGGCTCTGTTTGTTGTCAGAAAATGTTTTAAAATTAGTTTGCTTCATTGCTAAACAATGAAAAGGCCCTTTATTTATTTGTGTTACTTTCAAGATGTCAAAGTTTCCAGGCTCTAAATTATCTCACTTAATCTTAGCCAAATTTAGAGTCAAATTTAAAACAAAAATAATGGTTTAGAAATACCAGTTTCAGAATTTAATGAATACTTTTGTCTCTATATCTAATAATGCATCATCAAGTTTTATTAATGTACCACTAACCAGCTTTAGTCTGGATGCTTTACTGTGTTAAGCTGCGCCGTTTGAACCGCAGCCCTTCATTAGATGGTTGCTTTAAATAAGAAACCAAAAACAAAATAACCGTATGAACTGAAAACCAAAAGGAAATCCTTCCATCCTTATTTTCCTGCTATAATTGTTCCGTTAAGTTTTTTAAATTCATGTTTATACTTGATTTATATCTGAATATCTGGAAATTTGACTCAGATTTGACTTTAAAGTAAAAAAAACTGCTGCGGTCTGAAATGTTGACCTGCTGTTTCAGATGGTGCATATCTTTGCCAGCGAGACGGACCACTTCCCACCAATCAAGGCTTTGTTTGAGCTGGTTACCTCGGTAACACTGTCCGTCTTCCAGCAAGGTAGGGGTCCAGCAGAGGTGGGAGTTTCAGGACTCTCAGCAGTTTGTGTTCAGGTGAAGGATCAGGAAATATCCAAACTCTCTTTGGTCTTTTTAGAAAACAGCGTTGCCTATTTAGCGATCGCTGATGTATACCGGATTATTTTCTGCAGTAATACGTGTCAGTTGTTAAAGAACCAAACCAGTGACAAAGCAGAAGAAGCAGTGAATGATGAGCATCCAGACCAACCTGTCGGGTTTGGAAAAGAGAAAGCTCTCAATGTCTGCATTTCCATAATTATGTCAATTACATTTAACCCTTTTTCCCTTCACAAATTTTTGTGATGCTTCAAATCAGAATATTTACAAGTGAATACAACTTTAAATGTGACCAAACAACATTAAAAACATGAAATATCTACCTTAATGGCAGTTATGATCCAGGTCTCCTCTTCACCACTGGCTTATGTGTGTAAAACTATAACCAGGAAGTGATGCAAAGGACTTATAGTTTTCATCAATGTTTTCAGCTTTTTGCATTTTTTATGTGATTTGGGACAAGAATTGAAAATCATGAACAGCAAACAATTTACACATCATTAGGGGAAAAAAGAAACTTTCAGGTACTGGTTTCTGTCTGGCTGTGGGACGTGAAAACATCGAAGTTCGAAGCCTGAATAAAGATTTCATCAATGCAGACCCTTTTTTTGTCTTTGCTGTCGTTTAAAATATTTTTCCACTTATGATTTGCTGGAAACTCATAAAGTCAACATGTCACATTGTGAGTTTCTCTGATCTCTGCTTGGTTTTCATTTATTCATTCATTGTTTTTACATGTACGGATTAATTAAGGCTTCATATATGTCTTTTTTTTTATTTTACTTAAATCATTTAGGGATCAAAGAGGTTTACTTTTCTTAAATTGTTTTAGATTATTTGTTTCGGGTCTGGCTGACGCCTCCCCCCTCTGTGTCCTCCCTTCTCTTTCTCCCCCTCTCCTCTCCTCTCGCTTCAAATGGTTGAGTAATGGCTGCTTTCCTCTTGCTTTTAAGTCTCTCTTTTCCCCTCTGAGCAGGATCCTGCAGTACACAATAATATTTAAACAGAGTTCACAGAGCCCGGCGGCTTATTCTGTCGGCTCAAATCGAAGCTACACAGACTCCCCATCACAGCTCTCTGTGTGGAATAATCTTGCAAATCATTGCCACCCCTGGTAAAGATGTCTGAAAAACTCCAGTTTATCTCATCTTATTGCAGCTGGATAATCCCATAAAAAAAATTAGAAGTACTCAACTTTTTGTTTAAGTGCCTTTTATTTAGTGGAGGTAAAAACCGAGGCATCAGATAGAATAAACGTTAAAATCTCCCTCGTTTAACTGGTTCAATGGAAGAAGATGCATCTAAAAAAAGGACCATTCCGTGTTGCATCTAATAAGAGATCAAATCTACAGCATTTCTTAAGGCATAAACTGAATAAAACACAACAAAACATTTTTGAAAATCATATTCCAACAGTGAGATCATATATTTTTATTTAGATTTAAAATTAATAGAATAGAATAGAAAATCCTTTTATCGTCCCACAATGTGGAAATTGTGTGGAACAGGCTCCCTGCTCCCTGCTGGTGCCAGAAGTAAAAAAAAAATATAGTTAAAATGTTTTGATCATAACAGTTAGGGATCTAAATAACAGAGATTTGAGTTAAAAGAAGATAAAAATTCCAGAATTTGGATTTATGACTTCAGTAAATGTTTTAATTCTGAAATTGGATGTTTTTCAGACAATGTTTAGTGCGATTATCACAATAAAAAGCATTATATTAGGGTTATTTAACATCTTTTTCTGGGGTTCCAATGGTTATTAGGGATGGAACGGTTTATAAAAACCATCCAAACCGTTCGGTTCTACTGTATCGGTTCAGTTCGCGTGTGTTGCGTTCGGTTCATGCGCTGCTCCTTTTTCTCATAGGCGAAGCGTTTCTACTCCAGAGCAGAAGGTGGCGGTACTGTGACCAAAGCCAACCACCAGTAGTGAAGAAGAAGAAGCGAAGCAGCGTAGCCGGGTGTAGCATGAAAAAATCAGTAGTTGTGGAGAATTGTGTGGGTAAGAACAGGAGTTGGAAGACGCGCCAGCAGCACTTTATAGGTCTGCTGTATGGGACCACTTTGCATTTAGAGTGACCTACGATGACGGCGGAAAGAAAGCTGTGGATAAAAGTGCAACAGTGTGCAAGCATTGTGCAACACGTTTTGTTTATGCTAACAGCAACACGACCAACATGTCGGGCTAACAATCAACATATACCGAACCGAAAACCGTGACCTGAAACGGTGAACCGAACCGAACCGTGGATTTTGTGAACCGTTCCACCCCTACAGTAGGTTATAGAGGGCTCTGTATCGTCTCAGAGGATCATATGGTGGATAAAAGCTGCATGTTTGGGAACAGACAAAGCTGGGCGCTCACTATAAACACCTGCTATGCTTCTTTTTTTTCCTCCAACATCATTTCTAACTCATCTGATTATTTGATGTATTTAAATCCTCGATGTTTCTGTGAAAAAAAAAAACTAGAAAAGATGTTTTCCTGTAAATTTTAAGCATTTTCTAATGTTATTTGTATTTTCTAAGAAGTCTTGTAATTTGTGTGCAGCATATGGGAGGTGATGTCATACAGTAAAAGGCTGTGTCTTATAGACTGAAGCCTAGATCCTAGGAACCAGAAGGATTCGTTTAGTCGGTGCTGAATGGATCTTTCTGGTAGCTTCTCTGCTAGGTCTTTCTTTAAATCCAAGAGAGAATGTGATTCTTTTGATTTGAACATGAAGCGGCTGCTGGTACCGGTGCCTTACAGGAAGGGGGGTCCGTTCAGCTTCAGTAGCCCCCCTCATCCTGTAACGGTAGCAGAGGTTCCTTCTGGGTTCCCGCTCCAAACCCACCTTTGCTTTTTAGGTTTCTTTGTTTTTCTCTCGTTACTTCTCTTTTTTGTTTCCCTCCAAACAGACCCATGTGTTCGTCCTCTGCCTGTTGTTTGTTTTTGGTTGGTCTCTTCTTCAAAGACTTTGCCAAAGCTTCATATGCCCCCCCTCCCACCCCACTCCTCTGCCCCTTTGTTCCTTACTCACATGTAAATTATTTGGATGAAATATTTTTGGTTCTCTTTTATTTCCACATGACTGTTGAATCTATTAAGTTGCTGTTTGTATATTATTCTTATTCTCTCTTATGATTTGTTAAGTTTCATCTTTATTATATTATAGGACCCAGGGATCATCCTGATATTGTTGATTCATTTATGCAACTCCAAGCTCAGGTGTGTTTTTTGGTTTCTTATTTCATTCACTTTGGGTTTCTCTCTCTTTCTTATCCTCTTAATTCTCACTCTTCTTCTATCGTCCTCTCCTTCTCTCTAAAGCTCTTTCTTTTCTTTGTTACTGGGCCCTAAGGTGTCCCATCACAAAGCAGAGGCAGTGGAATGAAACACTCCAGGGAGCTGTTTGAAAAAGGGACATTCGTCTCTCCTCAGATGCTTTTTAACTCTAACAGTCGCCTCGCCACTCAAACCTGAGTTCATGTAAAATTTAGTTTTGCTTGCAGAATCCACCAGTAAAAATTAGGGCTGAAACAATTAACTAGATTAATCGATCATTCAAATAATCTCGAACTAATTTAGTAATCAATTAATCGTTAAAAAACTTAACTTTAGCTAATAGAGCGAACAAAAAAATATGTAAACATTTTGTGTTTAAGATTAAAGATTAAATGTTTCTGTCTGTAATTATGCTCTATCAGAGCTCCTCAAGTGGAAAAATTTGTTACACCTGGTTTATTTTAGCAAAAAGTCTTCCTTAAGGATTATTTAACCGATAATTAATAGAATACCCCAAAACAATAATTGATAAATTAATTGATTTGCTAAATAATCGTTAGTTGCAGCCCTACTCACAATACTTTGATTTAGAAGAAAAAAAGTCAGACTGTAATGTTTGATAAATGAGGGGAAAAAATATGGAAAACTGAATTTAAATAATTTTGTTCAAAACTAGAATACGTTTATAGATCCAATCCACATATGTTGATCCAGTTTAAGCATCTATTTCTTTAAATCTTAGTGATTGATCTTGAACAGCCTGGAGTCAGTGATGGCTGATATTCAGTTTCTCAGAAAATGGGAATACTAAGGTGATGTAACAAGATTTAAACAAACAAATGAAAGAGGCTCCTTCTGTAGGAAGTCCTGCATCAACGCAGAGATCAGCGTGTGGCTCTGCTGAGGCTTCGGCCTCGTCTGTGGTGTCCTGTTTCTGATCAATACTCCACACGCTTTCTGGGGCTGGATCTGGCTGCTTCCACACAAGCATAATGACGTCATTACAGCAGGTATTCAGACTGTTGGCAGATGGTGATGCTTTTCAGCAAAGCTTAAAGCTCTCCAAAGTGCTAAAACCTGCCTTGACTTTGGAATTGATAAAATATGGTGGAGCGATGCTGACTGGGGGACCTTGGTTTCCAAACTAAACGCTAAATCTGCTTTTATTTTAAAGATGACTTTGGACAGGGAGCAGCTTGTTCTGTCTCCACTTGCTAAGAAGCTTCGGATGTGTTTTGATCCAGGAGCAGCTTGACACAAGATTATAGTGAATGCTGCAAAAATGATTCACACCCCAAGAAGGAACTGAGTTTATAACGTTCTTTTTAAAGACGTTTTTATTTCTATTTTCATTCCAGATGAGCTGAGTATTAAACAAAAGACCATTTAGTAAATAAATCTGTTTTCAAAAATATCTTTTTACTTTATGATCTAAAATGACATTACAGCATGTATTTATATCCTCTAAAGAATAAGAAATGAATAATTTCCAATGATAAAGTGAAGGTTTATCTAGATGAGCTCCAAATTAGCGCCAAAATCTATAAATTAATGCTTATCTCTGTAAAATAACATGCATATAATAAAGAACATACAAAATAACCAGCTAATAATTAGAGTATCATGAATTTGGCAACAGTCTTTCATTAATGCAGCATTAGAAACAAATAAATTAGTAAAGTGATGCGAAGATGTTCAAGTCAGTAAAAAAAAATAAGATGTTGACCTGAAGATACAACAGCCTGGTTGACTATTTAATATAAGGGGTCTATTTTTCCTGTGAAGCGAAAACAAAAACAGTTTATATATATATATATATATATATATATATATATATATATATATATATATATATATATATATATATATATATATATATATATATGTGTGTATGTTTACTCTTAATGCACATTTTTCCTCCTTGTTTGCACCTTCTTTAATTACTATGCCAATATGTAAACAATGAATTTCTCCGCTGTGAGATCAATAAAGCTCATCTAATCCAATCTAATCTAATCTAACAACTTTAATTCTTTATTTATCACAGTTAGTATTGTTTAATTAACTTTAACCTACTAGTTCCCTGGCACCAAATGTTCAGCATGCTTCCTCTGAATATGCTGGAAGGCAGCAGCCTGTGATCTTCTCAGGCAGTGACCTTCTATAGTTTCCCGCCTTGTGGATTCCCTCTATAACAGTCTACTTAATAAATCTACTTCATCATTTTCTTCGCTATAATAAAATATTTCTTCGATAGATTCAAGTTTTATTGGTCTTATGTTAGTTTTTTCATTTTCTGAGAAACTGAATTATGGGTTTTTTTATCAGCTGTTAACTAATATCACCAATATTAGCAGAAATAAACACTTAAAAAATGAAATAGATTATATTCTTAATATATCCTACTTTACTGATATTTCTTTCATAGTTTCTCTTTTTTTCAGCATTAACAGAAAGATGTTTTAAAACTGCTCATTTAAACAGAAAGGCAACGATTGTTTACACCACTTTTCTTTCTTGCAAGCAAAGGAGAAACCCCGGTGCCTCTGTCAGCCAGCTGAGCAGCAGTGTGGAGCACTGTGTGGGAGAGAGAGAGAACTACATCACTCTTTTCTTTAACCAAACCTGTTTTTGTCTGACCAGTAAACAGACTGTAGTTTCATTTAGACTTTGTGAGGAATTCAAACTTTCACCGCGCTCCTTAATATCAATTAAAAGCAGATCTAATTTATTCTAGGCCTGAAACAATTAATTGGGATTAATCAATTATTGAAATAATCAACTAGTTTAGTTATCGATTTATTTGTTAAATGGAGTGTAGACTCTAAAACATGAATTTAGCTGACAGAGGAACCCACTTAGAGAAGTAATTATAGCAAAATTTTACATTAAAGATAAAAAACTTTTTCTATCAATCTGCTCTATCCAAAATATTTTCCAGAAGTTTTAGTTTCACCTGGTTTAGTTTGGTAAAAAGTCTTCTTTAAGCAACCTTTTTCTATTCGATCATTAATCGAAAAAAATAATCGACTGATTAATTGATTAGCAAAATACTCGTTAGTTGCAGACGTAATTTAGTCCGTGTCTGAATTGTTCTTTACTGACACATTAGGATTGAAAAGCATCATTTGTCCTGAAATCGTTTAGCTGACGTTGAGCCGTCATCAGGTGGTTCCAGGTGACTGGTTAGTCTTTGAGCCCAGTCCTCCTCTGAGGTCATTCCAGCCCAGAGCCGATCAAAGCCCAAATGAATTAATATTCAGCTAATATTAATCTGCACCAACTAATTGGCTGATGGCTCTCTCGTTTTTATTCTATTTTTGTCTTTTGTCTTCATTCTTCCTTTGTTTTCTATCTTTGGATAGATCTGGCCTTTTCTCCCTGTCCCTCTCTCTCCTCTCCTCCATCCTGAATAAGTTCATTATTATGAGATGAGTTGTCTTTCTCTTTATCTGCACATGTTAATTACTTATTACACACTTCTGTTGCATATTCTGTCCAGTCAACCAAAAAACAAGGAAGATGCAATAGAGTTGAAGTTGAATCAAAGCCAAAAACCACCATTGCCTTTAGTTTTTGACTTAAGTTTCAAATGATTTCAAAGTTTGATTTTTTGCAATTTGTTTGTTATACCTGCATCAGTTCTGCATTGGAGGACCTCCGTATGCGTTTGGATAGAGAGCACTGTAGCCTGGTAGGCAGATCTGGTCCTCTGTTGCCATCAGATCCGGCTACCAGGCTTAGCGGGTGTTTTGTTGTTGACAGTATTCTGAAGGAGCTTATGCAGTGGAATGTGGCTGAGCAGTAGCGAACGAGTCGGGCCTACAGAAACGTAATGCCTTATCGCTTTTATCTGCCTCGTAGGCCCTCAAACGGAAGCCCGACTTGTTCTTGTCGGAGAGTCTTGATGTGAAGGCAGTTTTCCACTGCGGTAAGTCGGCACCGGACTCTTTCAGGCACGCCTCCCCGTGCAGAGATCCACTCGGCACATGTCGACATGACAATGATTTCCATCTTCTTCTCCAAACTTTAGGAATTCTGTCTCTAAAGTTTCCAGAGGCCCCAACGGTCAAGTCAACATGTCTGTTTTTTGTAAGCATCACATGCGCATAAGTACACACTGCTAAATGTCTACAGTTTGTCTTTAAAATGTCTGAAATGTTTTTTTTTTTGGGGGGGGGTTTTGGTAGACGGAGCTGCTGCCGCACTGCTCAGACGTCCCTCCGTTAGCCAGGGTGGTACAGGAGGACGGCAAGCTTTTGGTGCAAGCTGTGCTGGAGGTAAGTAACACTACCTTACCTCTTTTCTTTCAACCTTTTTAAGATTTCAGAACCTGGATGTGTGTTTGAACGCAGCCCCATTTGTTTATGTTCCCTAAGTAGAATAAAATTCAGTCAAACGTCTACAGGTATGTCCATCCCTGAGAACATTGGTAACGAAACCGCATCATGAAGAAAAAAGGAGTTCAGCAGACAGGCAGGGGAAAAAGTTAGGAAGACGCTCGAAGCAGGGATTTGGTTATTTAACGACAAACTTGAAGCATCTCCCAAAGCTTTGAACATCAAAGAGTTCATCCATCAACTGCAAACGGACATGAATCTAAATCGGAGAAAACGTCAAGAAGCATGCGGCTAATATGAAAATGCTGCATGCAAACTGTGAAGCATGGCAGTGGCAGCGTCATGCAGTGGGGAGGCTTTGCTTTTTAAACATTTTAATTTGCATAAATGTTAAAAACCAGGTGTCTTTTTTTCCTCCTCTTCCAGGGCATTGGGGGCGGAGCTTCCCGGAGTCTGATGGACCAGTTTGCAGAAGTGTTGTTCAGTCTGAATAAGCACTGCTTCTCTCTGCTCGCCGTGTGGCTGAAAGAGGCACTGCAACCCCCGGGCTTCCCTTCGTCCCGCATCACCACTGAACAAAAAGACAACTTCTCCCAGCAGATACTGAGGTATCAATCACTGGATTAGAAATTAAGATTAGAGAACCTAGAGGAATACCTCTACTCACTGTTTTTCTTTGTCCCCCCCCCTCTTTTGAAAAGCAGAGAGCGGGTAAACAAGCGGAGGGTGAAGGACATAGTGAAAGAGTTCACACTGCTATGCAGAGGCCTGCACGGTACAGAGTACGCTGCTGAATACTGAATCACTGGCCCTCCACCTCCCGGCGAACGGTAACCTTCGTCCTGAGCGCAAATATCTGGACGCCACAGCAACAAAGCTCTCCAAGCCCATAAGGAAATCAAGAAACGATTGTAACGATAATCCATCCAGACACAGAACCCAGCACAGAGCTGCCATCGGATCAGCAAACTTCAACTCCCAGCAGGCCTCAGAGGAGGCCTCCTCTTTGCTGCATCGATTTCTTTCTCGCCGCTTTAAGATTGATTGCTTCTGTCCCCTCTCTTTGCTCCTTTAAAGGTCATTTTGTTGGACGGGTTTGGAGCGGCTCACCAGCCCGCTGCCTCCTCCCATCTTTGGCTTGTTCTGCCTTTCTGGATCTTCCTGTGGTTCCCTACGTTCGTTTGCTGGTTATTAGCATCTATATAAAATGGTAGTGGTATCGTACGTAGCTACTTGACATTATTTTTCAAAGTAAACCAACTTAATTCTATAAATGTCTATGTAAATACAAATAGATGGTTCCAGTCCTGCTGCTGCTAATAGGATAAAAAAGGAGCGATTCTGCAGGAAGTTCATCCGGTGTTTGCTCCAGGCCTCTGTGGTCTCTGCATTTGCCAAATTATAATAATTATTTTGTGACTTTCTGTTTTATTAAAAGCTTTTTAAGGGGTGTGAGTAGGGAAGAGAAAAAGCTGAAAACCACAATACTTGGACTTTATACATTCAACAAGCTCTCTGTCTGAGAGGCTGTACCTCATGTATGTATAATCCCACCCGGTCCAACTGCAGTCTCCTCTTTTACCCTGAAGTAAAGCGGCGAGAACAACGGCGACCGGCGCCATGATGGAAGCTGCTAAGAAGGGAACTAGGCATTTCAGACAAGGGGCTGCTTAGTCGCTGTAATAGTGCAGAAATATTAATCTAAGTTGTGCATATTAACAGTTACTGCTGAACACTTGCGTATTTGAGTGTACGGGTGTCCTCATATCTGTATGTACGAAGGTTTTGCACATGTATCTTTTTTCAGCACTTATGTTGGACCTATGGTACAAATGCATCATTTCTGTTCTTCAAAGAGCCCATTTTCTTCTTCTTCACACCATGCTCACTCAGGCACGCTCCTCAGAGAGACTGACCTAGAGCATCCAGCATGTCACGGACTGCGCTGCTCCTCGGCAGCCATCCTTTATCCACGTCGCCTCATTGTCAAACCCCACCCACCCATCCATCCATCCACGTCTCTCACCAAGCACTGCTATTAACAAACGCTTGTGATCAAGCTACCCAGAATCCTCTGGGTCACTGCCTTGGAAAGGATCAGAGGACCGGGCGCCGTATCCCTGACGGAGGGAGTTTCTCCACGCCGACATTCTGTGCTCATCCTTTTACGCCTGTGATGCTACGGCTGTCATTTACACTATCCTGTGAAGCGGCAGCACTCGGCATCCGAATCGTACCTTGTGATAAAACTTTTATCTCAGTATATTCCTTCTGTCTTATCCGAGGTGCCTGCAGACATGTAGCATGTATGTGTTTCGGGGTGGGGGAGGGCGTTGTCGGGGCTAATTTATGAGCTGAAGGTTGATCTGCAGCGATGGACGAAGACGGAGACCCAAGGCAGGAATCACTTTTGATGCAAGCTGCTTTGCTTTAGTCCTACTGCACTACAAACGTCTTGCCGTTCATCACTGATCCCTGGTTTGTGTTCTCCTCTTAGTCCAAAGTGAGAGGAGGAGCACTCTTCACAGTTTGGAGTCGTAGGCGGATGAGGGGAGGAAGGAATGAGATGTACAGTGGTCTTTTTGTACCTTGGCTTTAATTTATTAAATATATCTGAGACTGCAGCTATTGACGTCTTGAGTTTGTGGGTGTTTTCTTTTTTTTCTGTTAAAGATCTATTTATTCTGCAGCTCAGTTAAGTAGACAGATCTTGTTTAAGCTTGATAAACTCCTCCTTATTCAACTAAACTACATTTTTAGTTTAACCAGGCTTTCTAATAAGCTTTAATATTTATACATGCTAAAGGGATTTATCCATAAGGTGCGTTCCTATGGGGCAGGGTCAAAACACAGTTTAGTTTATTTATATTGGATTTTTTTATGGCTGGATTTAATAAAACATTTATAAAGAATAACCCAAAGCAATCCCTAATCAGTGATCTTTTATAATGCTTAAACGGTTTGCCCTGCTCCACTTTATTACCCCCCCCCCCCCCCCCCACCTAATAGTTCAACTGTATCCAATTTTTATTTTATTATTAAATCCATGCAGTACTTTCACGTTAGTCTCAAATATGCTGTAGTCCTACAGGGGGCAGTTTAACAGATTTAAAGTCAGAATTTGATTAGAATTATGCTAATGGAGGAGGAAAAAACAAGGAATGCACTAATTAAAGGATGTACTCAATGCTGCAAATGCATTATGTGTCTCCAGAGGGAGCTGCGTTATGTTGGAGGGTAGTTTACTTGATTAGATGATATTTTACAACAAATTAGCATAAAAAACTGAAAAGAGGACCATGATGTGTTTTAAAGGATGAAAAACTAGGAACTCAGGAACTTTATTGATCTCACACTGGAGAAATTTACCTCTGCTTTTATCCCATCCCCTTGGGGAGCAGCGGGCTGGTGTTAAATTCAGTTTATTTCTATAGCGCCAATTCACAACACATCTCTTTACAGTTCACCAGATCATTCAGTCAGATTTATTCAAAGTTTTCTATCTAAGGAAAACCAGTTGATTGCATCGACTCATTGACTCGAATTGTAGCGAAGGTGGAGAAAAAAAACTCCCTTTTAACAGGAAGAAACCTCCAGCAGAACCAGGCTCAGTGTGAGCAGATGGCTAATCAAACGCTGAAGGTCTTTGATCAGAGACCCAGCGCAGGCTGTGGGGATCAAACCAGCTACTTCCAACCTTCTCAGAGCCCAAGCGCTCTACTCTAACCACCAGGCCATCTAAATTTATTCAAAACTTTAATAAAAAAAAAAACCAAGGTAGGACGTTAGAAATAAAAATAAAATTAAAATGGATTTTTTATTTGAAAGATTCAAAAACAGCTTAGGTGTTAACGTGATGCATTCAAAGTCATCCCAAACTGTCCGACATCCCAGGATCTCCTTTTCCCACCCAGCTGCGCATGCGCAGTGCGGTCAGAGCGGCGCACATGTGTCGAGCTCCGTCCCTCCTGGCAGTCTGCAGACCACTTCCACTCCTTCCTCCAGGACAGCGGGTCTCTCCAGCTGTAATCTCAGCGTTTGGTCCTGATTTATCGAGGCTGCTGCAGGTAAGTTATGTTCCTCCAGCCCTCTGATCAGGTAGCTTTCACACTGCAGCCCTGGGAGAGGTTAGCCTGTTTCCCTCGATCCATCTTGAAGTCACTTTTATGTTGATTTAAATTGTTGCAACTCACAGTTATTTTAAAGTTTGGATCACAGGGCTGCAGTTTGCTGCAGGGTTAGTTAGAAGCATCCAGAGAGTCGCTCTTAGTTGCATCAGAGCTTTAATGAGAGGAAAGTTAAAGTCATTAAATCAAAAGGAAACAAAATACACATGATGGCGCACATGACAATATTTTTTTAGTTCTGTATCAAACTTAAGCGCTTAGATTTGTAAGAAAAGATGTTGGCTAAACTTTCCTTCCTTATTTAAAACTCATGTCTGTTTTTAATCTTCACTCAGTGACGTCATCAGGGTTCAGCGTATTCGCCACCATCATCATCACTTTATCCTGTTTACTGATCATAGAGTGTTTTATATCTGGATGTTTGTTTTTGCTTTCTTGGTAAATAATGAATTTGAGACCTTTTCTATCCAGGGGCGGATTTAGGAAATTTGGGGCCCTGGGCAAAGACAGGCAGGGGGCCCGCTGAATGGAGAAGACAGCACATAAAACAGACCCATTCTACAGATAGAGAAATGTTAATAGAATAGACATCCATTATCTGTTCTAGGTTGTGTCCCTCTCTTCTTGTCCATTTTCTTCTTGTTTTCCTCTCTATGTTTTGTACTCTAAAGGAATGAAAGATTTTTTCCAAGCACTAAGCTCACTTAGCTGATTGCTCCTTCCTGTGTTTCCAAAAAGGCCAAAGTAAATAACCCAGTCCTTCTTTTCACTGTAGACAAGCCATGATCTGCTTATCTGTTCTCCATTTTTCATTTGGATGAAATAATAGCTGCATGAATCATGACAGCAGACAAGATAGAGGAGAGCAGGAGGCGGGGTTACCAATCTACTTGCTCTGGAGAGCAGAGTTCGCTGCTTTTAGATGGATTTTTATCAAAAACATAATTAATGTGCACAAATAAGGAATCGTTGTATTAACTATAAATGTAAGCAGAGTTTTATGGGGCCCCCAGGAACTTAGGGCCCTAGGAAACTGCCTAGTATTGCCTAATAGTAAATCCCCCCCCAGCTTAATCAAAGCATCTGAAAGGCAACAAAGTGGATTAGATTAGTAGATTAGGGAGGTTTATTATCAGTGGACTCTATCTGTAGAAACTAAAAAGTTCCTCATCATCAATTGTCCTGAACTGATGAGACAGAGAGGAATCTCTAATCACTGATCAGTTTTATTGATCTTTGTCCTTGCAACTGATATGTAGTTTAAATAAATCACTTCTAGATGCTTTTTTAATAGATGATCTGTGATTTATTTGCTTTCTTACTTTTAGTGTGATTCCTTTTTGTCTCCAATCTAGTAGATTTCCAAAGTACTTTATGTCCATACCTTATATTTAACCCTTTATAGGGCAAGTTACCGTTTTGTTCACTTTCATTTGATTCCCCCCCTTCCCTCAGTGAGGTCTAGAAGCACAAGATCTATATCCAGCCGTTCAGCAAAGATGCTGCTACATGGCCGTACATCCTATTTTGGTATTTGACCAATTAGATGAGCCCTTTAATGATATATTACCTCCTGTAAATTAAGTTGGAAAAAAAAGTAACAACAAAGGGTAAAAACAAAAAAGGCAAAAAGCTACTTAAAAAGTTAAAAAAAAGGCAAAAAGCTAATTAAAAAGTTAAAAAGTAAAAAAAAGGTAAAAAGCTAATTTAAAGGTTAAAAAAGTCATGAAAAAAGGCAAAAAGCTAATTAAAAAGTTAAAAAGTAAAAAAAAGGTAAAAAGCTAATTAAAAAGTAAAAAAAGGTAAAAAGCTAAATAAAAAGTAAAAAAGTCAAGAAAAAAAGGTAAAAAGCTAAATAAAAAGTAAAAAAGTCAAGAAAAAAAGGTAAAAAGCTAAATAAAAAGTAAAAAAGTCAAGAAAAAAGGGTAAAAAGCTAAATAAAAAGTAAAAAAGTCAAGAAAAAAAGGTAAAAAGCTAAATAAAAAGTAAAAAAGTCAAAATAAAAAGGTAAAAAGCTAAATAAAAAGTCAAAAAGTCAAAAAAAGGTAAAAAGCTAAATAAAAAGTCAAGAAAGAAAAGATAAAAGGCTAAATAAAAAGTAAAAAAGTCAAGAAAAAAAGGTAAAAAGCTAAATAAAAAGTAAAAAAGTCAAAATAAAAAGGTAAAAAGCTAAATAAAAAGTCAAAAAGTCAAAAAAAGGTAAAAAGCTAAATAAAAAGTCAAGAAAGAAAAGGTAAAAGGCTAAATAAAAAGTAAAAAAGTCAAGAAAAAAAAGGTAAAAAGCTAAATAAAAAGTAAAAAAGTAAAAAAAAAAAGCTAATTAAAAAGTAAAGTTAAAAAGTTAATAAGCCTAGTTAGCAATTATTTTCAGGTTTATAAACTAAAAATGTCAGCGCCAGTATTGGCATTAATGCCTCTAAGGTTATGTTGGACCAAACAAAATGTGATTCTTTCACTCAGTGTTTTTCGTAAATTTCTTATAGAAGCACTTTTGTAATTTTTCTAAATATAGTTGATGTTACAAAGGTAATAAGGTCTAGTCCTGGATTCCAATAACACTATTGGCTGGAAAACTTGATTTACAAAGTACTCCACCGAGAGCCCTATGAAGGGTTAATTAGAAAATCAGCTTTTTAAAAATGTTTTGGAGCTGTTTCGTTTTTTTTTTCTTCCTTTTTTTTCTTTTTGGCAACCAACAAATTGACCAAGCAGGTTTTTAATTTTCTCAGTGAATCAGGCTGGGCTGACTGGAAAGAAACAATAAAAAATTTATTTCAGTTTGTAAATGTATCTCCTATTTCATAAGAAAATGTTCATAATCATTTATGTGCAGACATTCGTCTTTGCTTCTCATTCTATATCTTTGTGTGTGACCCTCCCC